CCTCTCTGCTGAGGATACACACCCTCTGACAACAAAACAGGTTAAAAATGAAAAATAATCTCTGAGTGGGGACGCATGATGAGATTATGTAAAAATACAGATGTTGGAAAATATCATATACCAGTCAAATAATGGACAGATGGGGCCAGCAGGTGGCGTGGTGGTTAAGGCGCTGGACACTCCCACATGGCCAACCACGTTTCGAGTCCCAGGCTGGTGGCTTGCTTTCTCACTTTCCCTCTTTCTCACTCTGTGCCTCTGTCTGGTCAAATTTAAAATGAAGGAATGAATAAATATAATAAATAAACATTTTTTTTAAAAAATGGACATATAAGTGAAAAATAGGGAAAAAGTTATACATTAAAAAAAATAGGGAACCAGCAGTTAACGTAATGGCTATGTTGCTGGACTCCCATGTAGTCGACCACAGTTCGCGTCCCGGACCCGGTGGCTTAAAACTCATGCCGGGTGCGTGTGCGTGCATGCCCAAGATCCCGAGAGGAAAATGGAGGAGAAGAGATTGCGGCGTGACCATCCCCCATGGGGAGTGATTTCTCGCTTTCTGTCTCTCTCTGTCTGTCTGGAGAGCGCACGCACCCTATAGCGAAAACCTCTCAAAAAAAAAAAAAAAAAAAAAAGAAAGAAAACAGAAAAGAAGAAAAAAATACATGTTCATAAATAATGGATAATATAGGGACCAGCCGTTAGCATAATGGCTGTCGCTGGACTCCCATGTAGTTGACCGCGGTTTGAATCATGGACCTGGTGGCTTAAACTCACGCCGGGCGCGTGTGCGTGCGTGCCCAAGATCCCGAGAGGAGAATGGAGGAGAAAGGATTGCGGCGTGGCCATCCCCCCGGGGGGGGGATTTCTCGCTTTCTGTCTCTCTGTCTCTCTCTGTCTGTCTGGAGAGCGCACGCACCCTATAGCGAAAACCTCTCAAAAAAAAAAAAAAAAGGATAATGTACATCAATAGGCAGTAAGCAAATCTACTGACCTCATACTTAGAAAATAGTTTTAGAACAAGACGATGGGATGGCCCTTATTTATTTATTTATTTATTTTTGCTATAGGGCACATACAGGGTGCATGCACTCACCAGCACTAGAGAGAGAGAGTCAGGGACTGGGGGACGTGAGAAATCACCTCCTTGCAAGGATGACCACACCACAATCCTTTCTCCTCCATTCTCCTCTTGGGATCTTGGGCACGCATGCACACACACGGTGTGATTTTCAATCTGCTCGATCCAGGACTCGAACCATGAAGTCAGTTACCCTCCACTCCATATACAGACCCTGATGAGATAGTCTTTTTTTTTTTTTTTTAGGGATTTTTGCCTTAGGGCATGTATGCTCACCAGAGAGAGAAAGAGACAGAGACAGTGAGAGCGGAAGTGAGAAGTCACCCTTCATGCCATAATCTATTCTCCATCTTCCTCCCAGGATATGGGGATGCACGCATATGTACCCAGCGTGAGTTTCAAGCCACTGGGTATGGCACTTGAACCATGGCCAGCCATGTGGGAATCCAACAACATAATTGCTATGCCACCTGCTGGTTCCTTTTTAAAATTATTTCATTTAATTTTATTCATTATTATTATTATTATTATTTTGGAGAAGTTTTTTTGCTATAGGGCGTGTGCACTCACCAGAAAGACAGAGAGACAGAAAGCAAGAAATCACCCCCCGGGGGGGTGGCCATGCCCCAATCCCTTCTCCTCCATTCTCCTCTTGGGATCTTGGGCACGCACGCACACGCGCCTGGTGTGAGGTTAAGTCACTGAGTCCAGGACTCGAACCATGGTCAACTACATGGGAGTCCAGCAACATAGCCATTATGCCATCTACTGGTCCGAATCATTATTATTTTTTAATTTGACCAAAGAGACAGAGAGAGCAGGAAAGTGAGAAAGCAGGACTCGAACTACAGTTGGCCATGTGGAAGTTCAGCGCCTTTACCACCATGTCACCTGCTGGCCCCCCCAATGGGACAGTCTTATAAAACAAAGATGAGAAGGTCTGCACACAGTCTTTCCACGCAACAATGTGAAACATGAACCTATGTTTTGTTGTTGAAGTATGAATCAGCACAGCCTCTTAGGGAGGCAATCTGTTAATATCAATTTTCCAAAAAAAAATTTAATGAAAAATTACAGATATACGGGAACCAGCAGTTAGCGTAATGGCTGTGTCGCTGGACTCCCACGTAGTCGACCGCGGTTCGCGTCCTGGACCCGGTGGCTTAGAACTCACGCCGGGCGCTTGTGCGTGCGTGCCCAAGATCCCGGGAGGAGAATGGAGGAGAAGGGATTGCGGCGTGACCATCCCCCTGGGGGGTGATTTCTTGCTTTCTGTCTCTATGTCTCTCTCTGTCTGTCTGGCGAGCGCACGCACCCTACAGTGAAAACCTCTCCAAAAAAAAAAAGATAAAAAAAAAAAATTACAGATATACCAAAAAGAGAAAAGCTGAGCATGGTGGCACACACCTGTGGCCCCAGCTATCTGAGAGTCTGAGATGGGAGGATCTTCAGTTTGAGGCCAGCCTGGACAACATAGTGAAACGCTGTCTCTTAAAAATAAAAGTTGACGGCCACGTTCTACATTTAGGTTTGATGATTGACAACATTTAAAAAATATTTGCTTTATCACACACAGGTATCAATCCAACCAGCCACCTTCTATCTTGATGCATTTCAAAGTAAATTGCAGCTATCTGTATACGTCAACCCTAGACATTTCAGCTGACATGTCAGAGTCTAAAGACTTGGTTTTTTTTTCGGGAACCAGCAGTTAGCGTAATGGCTATGTCGCTGGATTCCTACGTAGTTGACCGCAGTTCGTGTCCCGTGCCCGGTGGCTTAAAACTCACGCCGGGCGCGTGTGCGTGCGTGCCCAAGATCCCAAGAGGAGAATGGAGGAGAAGGGATTGCGGCGTGACCATCCCCCCTGGGGGGGTGATTTCTCGTTTTCTGTCTCTCTGTCTCTCTCTGTCTGTCTGGCGAACGCACGCGCCCTACAGTGAAAATCTCTCCAAAAAAAAAAAAAAAACCTTGTTTTTTTTTTAAGATAAAATTACAGATGATGAATTTTTTTTTTTTTGAGAGGTTTTTGCTATAGGGCGTGTGTGCTCGCCAGACAGAGAGAGACAGAGAGACAGAAAGCTAGAAATCACCTCCCAGGGGGGATGGCCACGCCACAATCCCTTCTCCTCCATTCTCCTCTCGGGATCTTGGGCACGCATGCACACGCGCCCGGCGTGAGTTTTAAGCCACCGGGTCCGGGACACGAACTGTGGTCGACTACGTGGGAGTCCAGTGACATAGCCATTACGCTAACTGCTGGTCCCCCAGTCAGTATGTTTTGACTAATGCACACACCATTGCAATGCAAACTTCTATCAAGATACTCAATATTTCGAGCACCTTGGAAAGTTCCTTTCTGTCCATTCCCAGTTATTCTCCATTCCCCTAGCTGAGTTTTTAAATTTTAGTTTGGTTTTGCTGGGTCTCAAATAGAAATGTAATTATACGGTAGAGACTTCCACGTGAGTTTTCTTCCACTCAGCACAGTGATTTTTGAGATTCGCCCATCTCGTCATATCCGTTACTCGTTCTTTATCTCCTGAGTGGTGCTCAGCTATACGAACATACCACTGTTAGACTATCCATTCTCCTGTCGGCCTAACAGGTAAACGGGTGCGAAGTGTATAAAGCAAAAGGAATGGATTTGGGCCAAGGTGGAGAATAATCCTGGATACCACGATATCCAAGTTGCCCTGGATAGATGTTCTGAAAGCTTACAGATTTCAAGATGTTTTTAAAGGCAAAAACCCCAAGGAGAAGGGTAGTTCTATCGCCCTCTTGGGATCAGTACCGAGGGTGACTTGACATCAGCCCACAATGGCGGCGTGACTGTGGGCATTGGTTATCAGTTAGACGAGCAGCTCTGGGGCAGAAGCCCTCGCAGAGGCAGTCCTCGTGTCAGGCTGCAGTGGTCTCTGTGCAAGGCTGTGGTTGCGGCAGAGCCCTGTGACAGCTCTTGTTAGCAGGCATGCTTGTGTGAGAAGTGCACCCCACCCCCACCCCAACCAGCTCGCCCATGGCCTCCCCAGATGAGTTTAGTCAGAGGTTTTTTGTTTTGTTTTTTTGAGAGGTTTTTGCTATAGGGCGTGTGCACTCACCAGAAAGACAGAGAGAGACAGAGAGACAGAAAGTCATCCACTGGGGGGATGGCCACGCCGCAATCCCTTCTCATCCATTCTCCTCTTGGGATCTTGGGCACGTATGCACACACACCCAGCATGAGTTTAAGCCGCCGGGTCTGGGACTCGAACCACAGTCGACTACATGGGAGTCCAGCGACATAGCTATTATGCTAACTGCTGGTCCTAGTTTAGTCAGAGTTTAACACAAGCTAATGCTAATGACTTATCTGGCGTCTGACAGCTTTCACACTCCGGCTGATGCATGCGTGGGTTGTTTCTAGAACCGTTTGGGGCTGTTCCAAAGAGAGTTGATACTAGCCGTTCTTGTACAGGTACTGCCGAGGACCGATGTTCTCCCTTGGCGCCCTTGAGAGAGGTACCTAGGAGGTATGCAGATCCTCTTCCTGGAGTTCAGAGTTTATTTCCACGTCGGCACAGGCACAGTGATGAGCATTTGCGACATGACCCGTACAGACAGTACACAGTATGAGTTGTGAGGCGATAAAAGTGCTTCTTGGGAGAGAGCCAAAGAAGGCTTCCTGGAGGAGGGGGCTTTGGTGCTGGCACATCTTGGTTGAGTAGGAGGATCAGGGGTTCTGGGATGGATGCACCTGAGTCCAATCCTACTCCCATGGAAAAAAAGATCCTGGGGAAGTCTAGCTTTTCTAATTTGTAAAATGGAGATGATGACAGCACAGAGTTTGATGGAATGATGGGATAAAAGGCCCCACCAGAGCCTCCACACTGGGCCTTTTTCATCCGCTGGCTTTCT